TGACCTGATTGTTTATAGTTCATAATGCGTGATCAAAACCGAAAGTTTCTGTGATGAATGCCCTTGTACTGTTCACCATGTAAGAACTTATTCACTATGTAAGAATTCATTCACCATGTAAGAACTTGTTCGTTATGCTTCAGAAGATTGGAGACTGATGAGAATTAGGCTTGAGATGGATTAATGATTGTGCATTGAGCATTGACCCCCCTATACCGAATTTATTGTTGTTAACAACCATTTGATCAATAAACATGAGAGATGCCCTCTCAAAAAAAAAATATGTGGCTGAATCTTACTACACTGATGGACAGTGACTGTAATGGGGTTTGTGGGGGCACTTAGGGAAGGGGGGAGTCTAGTAAACATAATGTTCCTCATGTAATTGTAGATTAATGATACCTAAATATATATATATATATATATGTGGCTAAAAAATATATATATATATGTGGTTGAATCCCCTGTGAACAGTTGGGTTGTTTCCAGTTTTCTACAACTACAGATAGTGCTGCAGTAAACATCCTCGTTCACACAGGCACCTCTGTGCATACTTGCAGGATGTATTTGTGGAAGCAGAATTGCTGCATCAGCAGGTATGTGTGTGTAGCATTTTAACCCAGACGATCCTCTAAAGAAGCTGGCTAGGTAGACACTCACTCCTGCAAGCAGGAGAATGGAGGAGTACCAGCTTCTCCACCTCTCGGAGCTTCCCCGCTCCACCGCCTGCTTCCGTGCTCCCACCATCCTGGTTGCAGCCATCCCAGACTCCGCAACTTCTCTGTGGCAATAAATTAAGAGCATCTAGATGAAAACAAACATGTTATTCATTCATCACTTACATGATTGATTTGGCAGTATACTTGACTTTCTCTGGGGGGTCCTGAGTTGGAAAATGAGGAAAAATAGGAAGCTGGCAGTCACGGACCAAGTGGTGATAGCCCTGGGCTGGCCGCTGCAGATGCTGTGGGGCGGGACTATGGTGTCTGGACATTGTCCACTTGTATTTCCATCTCTTATTCCTGAATGAGCTGGCTCTCTTCTGTGCTTAGAAATACACTCTTCTTTCCAGAGGGAACCTCAGTCACCATCCAGGCACCAACTCTATGCTGAGGATTTCTGCAGGTTCCCTGTCCCCATCAGAACATTCCCTCCTCTGTATCGTTTAGCACTATTCCTTATTCTGCTTTGTCCTGGAGCCAGAAGAACTTTAGCAGTGGCTGTGGGTATGTCTATTGCCAGCTTTCGCTGTACTCTGTGGCCTCTCAGTGCCTAAAGGCTGGTTTTGAATCATGGAAGGTTGCTCTGCCTCCACCTATAGAAAGACCAGCCCTTTCCACAGCTGTGACAGAGTGGGTGTGTAATTCTGGGAGGACGGGTCTCACACCGCTTCCCAGCACATCAAGCTCTAGTTGTGCTCTGCTTGAAAACGTGCTCTTATTGGCTGCTTTCCTTGCTTTGTATTACTTCCCAGTTCCCCTGGTGTTATTCTCTTGGTTCTTCCCAAGAATAATATTTGCACTCAAATCTTTGTTTCAGGGTCTGCTTCTGGGGAAAACCCAGACAAAAATAGAAAAGTCTTATTATCCCCATTTTACAGATGAGGGAAACTAAGGTTCAGAAAGGTGACCTATTTCAAGGTCATGCAGCTTAGAAAGCATTATTGAAAACCCACACTGCTCTTGATTTGTGTGTATGTGTGTTATTTTTCTCCCTAGTTCTCTGAAACCAGAAACCTTTCATAATTTCATAGCCTCCTAATGCCTGTAACAGCTCCTTACATAATAATGTGTTCTGCTGAAAATGTTTAAAAAGTTCATCGAATCCAGCTGTGCGTGTGTGTTTTTCCGAGGTCATAGCAGAACTCCCAAGAGCAGACCAAGACCACCTCTGGGGTGCCCTGGCTTCAGGCTGCCTTCATCCCCTCTCAGACACAAATGGGCAACTCAGTATATACTCCCTGGGGCACACATAGTTTTTGTTTTTGTTTTTTTACTTATAAGAGGTTTTTTTTAAATTAATTTTTTAATTAAGGTATCATCGATATACAATCTTATAAAGGTTTCACACGAGCAACATTGTGGTTATTACATTCACCCATATTATCAAGTCCCTCCCAACAACATCCCGTTGCAGTCACTGTCCGTCAGTGTTAAGATGCTAGAGCCACTACTTGTCTTCTCCGTGCTATACTGCCTTCCCCGTGCCCCCACTACATTATGCGTGCTAATCATAAGGGGCACACACTCTCTTGTTCACACCCCAACCCTGTCCCCCAGGGAGATGGGAACAGGCAAGACACAATGACCAACGAAGGGAAATCACATTTTACTTGGAATGTTATTTGAGAAAAGCAAGTGTGTCTGTACTCTTGATATACAAATCACACAGTATCTCAAGTATAGGGAGAAAACGCTGGGGCCCTTCTCTCCTGCTCAGCTCCCACCCCATTTCCCCCAAACGAACATATGGGGAAAGACCAGCTTTAAAGGCAGGGCAGTTCCCTGTCCCTAAAGCAGCATGGACAAGCCACGCCACACAGCAGAACTTCTCCTTGAAGCAGTATCTTCTCAAAGAAATGAAATTACCTGGGTTGGCCCCTCACCCTGATCCTCCAGATCGATTTCATTACAAAACCTTGAATTCTTGAAAATTTTGTTCACTGTATCTATCCCATTGAGAGGCATGCATGGAGGGCGAGGATCTGGCAGCAGCAAAGGGCCCTACCCTTTTGTTGGGTTTTTATTCATTTGGAACGCTGGAAGTGGGACAAGCCTGGAGCATGCCCAACATGATGGAAAGCTGCATCTGTTGACAGGCCACCCATCTCCAGACAGACAGACAGATGGCCTAGAGACCCTACTGCAAGGCCAGGGGACCCATAGAAGCCAGCTGCAGGGTAAGGTGCAAGCAGAGAGTATCTGCAGGTTGGGCCTCATGCACCTGGTCTCTGATGGAGCCTGGAAGTCAAAGAAGGGCCAGCTCCAGCTCAGGAAGAGAACAAACGGCTGCCACTGCCTCCTTCTGGAATCTTCTCCTCTAGCTCAGAGAAGGCAAGGGACCCAGGATGCTTGGAACTGTTGCTCACCCCCAGGAGCAGGCCTTCCTGCCTTGGGAATGCCCCAAGAATGATGCTAAGAAACAGAAACATTAGCTTTTCCCCTATTACTGCAGGCTCACCAGGCCCAAGTTCAGAGTTAAGGGCAGTAGTTAGATGAAGGTGCTGTTGGCAGAGCGTCTCTGGGCAGGCATTTGGGCTCTCATTGCCTTGGCCGCAGTGGAGGCCTTCTTCCACTTGGTGCTCAGGTTCTTCATGTACCTCTGGACCCACTGCTGTTTGGGGTCGCCGCACAGCTTCAGGCCCTTCTTGGTGGTGAAGCTGTGGGAAGAGTGGCAGGGCAGAGCTGAGACCCAGCCAGGATGCCAGGATCTTGGACCCCTTTGCCTTATGAGGAGGTGGGTGTGGGAGCCCATAGATGACAAGCTGCTGCAGGGCCCTCCCAGCCAACCGCTGCCACCACAGCTCCTCTCTGTGTGTCTGCTTCTCTTTTGTCTCAGGGCCCACATTCAGCAACCTCCTGGTCAGGTGGGGAGGTGCAGCCCTGCCTTTAGATAGCACTGTATCTGAAGGGAGAGACACAGTCTCTACCCACAGGGGGGAGGGGAGAGTAGGAAATGTGTGGAAAATTCACAGGACAAAAGGCAGATGTCTCTAGTTCACACGTGAGGTGAGAAGGCGTGGTGGATAAGGAGTCAAGCTGGGAGGGGCTCCAGGATGCCTCTTTCCAAGCCAGTTCTGAGCTGGGGGCTGCCAGGCTATGGAACCGAGTCCGGTGCTAGCAGCGCACATCACTAATCATACTAACATCCCAGGCCACTCTTTACAAAGTGAGTTCACACCTACTGCCTTGTGTGAGAGGCAGCTATGAAGTTATTTGAAATTGCAGGTGACCTTGAGCAGGTCACCTTTCTGAGCCTCACTTACCCTCTGAAACTTGGGGATAATCATAAAGGTTATGATTATGGGATGGTCGAGAGGGTTAGTTAGATAATGTTATACACCCCCAATAGTGCCTAGAATATGTATGGTGCTCCATAAATGATTGGTGACTCTGCAGCCTCTCCTAGTCTTATGGGTGGGGAAGCTGAGGCTCAGAGAGGTGAGGTGGCTTCCAGGGTCCCAGGGCCCGGTCTCCGGACTTTATTTCCTCAGTGATGCTGGAGGCTCCCCTCTCCCTGCCCATCCCCTGCGGGGCGTCCAGGGAGAGGTGGTTACTCACATCACCCCTGCCTTGGGGCAGATGCTCCCACTGGATAACTGGTAGCTGAGCACTCGGCTCTCAGGAATTTTCTTGGAAATGAAGGACATGCAGCAGGAAGAGGGGATGACCACGGAGCCTGAAAGATGAGAGAAAGAAGAGTCACCTTCTTTCCCAGCCTGCCAAGGCTCTGATTTGGAGACCATCCCTTGAGAACACCTCCAGTGCAGCCACCGTGCTGCCCCTCCCCAGCATTCCCATCCAGACCCAGGCTGGTCGGTCCTCCGCCCTCTGCTGTGCTACCCCAGCCATGCCTTCGGGGTGGTTGTCCTGTCCAGAGACCAGAGCTGGAGGTCCTGATGGAGGCAGCAGATCTTACCTGCAGGGGCAAAGTGGTGGGCACACAGGGCCAGGAGCAGGAGGTGGGCTACGATGGTCATAGGGCCAGGCATCTGCCAGAGAGCAGAGGAAGCAGCTCAGGGCTCAAAGCTGGGGTGCGGGAGGAGAGGGGCTGGGACAAGAGGCCTGGTTCCTTTCAAAGCACCCAAATGTCCCTCTGCCCTTTATAGGGGCAGCAAGCAGGAAACATGCCCTGATACAGCCTCCCCTTGCTACCGGCTGACTTCCCTGAAAGTCCTAGAGGCTGCAGAGCTCTGCAAAGGGGAAGTTGTTGCCCAGTTGAGTCAGGGTTATTTGGGCGCTCTAAGAGCTGGGAGGGGGTGGTATTTCCTTGTCTAGGTGACATGTGAAAGCATTGCATGCATAGTCCAAAGGCTGTGGGGATCCTGGACATGCTATTTATTTCCTGTGGGATCCTGGATGAGTCACTCACCTTCCTGAGCCTCAGTTTTTTCAGGTGAAAATGGGTAAAGTCATCCTATCTCCTTCCTTTCACTGATTCATTGATTCATTCATTCATCAACCCTTATAAGGCATGTACTATGTGCCAGGCTGCCAGTGGTGAAACAGCACACCTAAAAACTATTAAGGTGCCTACAGATGCTGTCATTGTTGGTCTCTATCCCCTTGGGCCTCTTTACCACATACATTGTCTCTTGGTGGCCTTGCATTCCCAGCCCCCAGGCTGCAGGAGCCTCTGCACCTAATCTATGGTTTCTAGGAAAGTAGTTAGTTCCTGAAAACTTATATCCTCAGGGCAGCACTTCACCAATGTCTTCTGGAGGGATACAGACTCCAGGTCCCGTGTGACCTACACTGCTTCCGGAGTTCCCCGCAGGGTCGAGCCAGCTTCCTATCATGTGGCAGGACTTTGCTGACCTCCTTCCCTTCTGGGCCCATTTCCCCCTCCCCTGCTGCTTTTCCCTGGAAGCCCTGCCTAATAAACCAGCCGCCCACACATCCTCATCTCAGGGTCTGCTTTGGGGACCCCAACCTGAGACAAGGGGTGTGCGTGGTGGAGTGGGAAACTGGCCAGGTCTGCTGGGGGAAAAGTGGGAGAAGTACTTGGACTTCATGGCTGTGCTGAGCTTTGGAGGGTGGAAGGCGATGGTAACCCGACAGGGCTTTGTAAATCATCAGCTCCCTTCCTAGGGACTGAGGGGACGTTGTCAGGCAGAGTGGGTTGTGGCACCCCTTTCACTCCCCACCCCATCCCAGGATCCCAGGCCAGGACCCCATGTGCAGAGACTCTTGTCGCTGCAGCTTCCATTCCCAGGCCCCTCCCCACAAGTCCCTCACTTCCACGTTTCACAGAAACACTTGGCCTTCTCTGGCCTCCCTGCTCTGGCCCCCCAGGTCACCGGGAACACACTGGGGTGGAGCGCAGTGGCATATATCACCTGGATGACAGCCAGGTGTACCTCTGTCTCCCATTTGACCTTGAACACCTTGAGATCAATATCTTACTTCTATACCCCCCAAGTCCTGAGCAGATCACTTGTCTTACGGCCAGTGTTTGCAGAATGAGTATATGATGGATCAACTCTGAGTCACTCTTTTCGGAACCAAGGACTGCTATGTGGTCTCCGCCCAGTGCCACTGGGCTCAGGTGTACCCAGGGGGCCAGCAGGCAGCTCCTCTGATCTCTTCACTGCCCATTTTGACAGAGTGAAAAATGCAAAGCACTGCCCAGCAACTCACTAGCTCTGTACCTTCACCTCATCAATCATTGATAACAATCTTTCCCTGGCAGAGTTGGGGAGCGTTAAATGTGAAGCCCTTTATACATGCGAGGGCTTTTCATGATACTATTTTATGACATTCTCTGACTTTTGCCTTACTGTCTGTCTGGGGTTTTGACTCAGTGGGTGCTGGGAGTGGGGTGTGGCTGAGTAGAAAGGAAACGTTTGCTGTCGGTATGTTGCAACCAGAGTGGTATGGCCGAAGGTCACTGGGTGGGACTGATTGCAGTGAGGCGCTTCGCCCTATTAGTAACACCTTTTAGGGGTCTTTCCAAAGCTATTCTTGGTGCTTTATTGGGGGAAGGAGGTGAGGCAGGGATTCTAAGCTGCATTTTACAGAGAGAAAAACCAAAATCTACAAGAAGTGAGAACATACCATTGCAGAGCCACTTACATCAGCTCCCAAAATGAGAACCTGCAACTTTCCCACTTGAAGGGGCAGAATCCAACAGCCCAAGCAATTATTTAAAGTACAAGTGGGAGGAGCAGGTTCTAGAAAAGCAGAATAGAAAAAGAGGAAATAAAGAAAGGGGACAGGAGGGGGAGAGGGAAGTCAAGAGAGCAGGTACAGATAGAGCAGACATGGGGCAGGGAGGTGGATAGAAGAAAGACAGGCTGCAGAAGTGCCTGGAACGCCCCTGGCTCCGGCTCAGACCCCTTTCCTCCCCGGCTGTGATTTCTCCATCTGAGAAGTGGGATGTTGGCCCCTTGCATTTCCCCAAGTGTGGCAGCCACATCACAGGTGATACAAAAATGTGCACATTGCATTTTAATTTAATTATGTCTCGTTATGTTTACCCTCTGTGATAAGGGGTTTTATATTTATGGTAGTGATACAAGATTTTCCTAAAGTAAAAAACATGAACTGACAGTAAGAAAAAAATGTAACAGGATAAATGGTATGCACATATAGTGAGCTAAGAACATCTGAAATCTGGGAAACCTGGCCATGGTGCCCTCTGGGGTCCTTTCCCCTCCAGGTCCCGGGCACCAGTGAGGCAGGTCCTGGAGAAGATGCGGGAGATGGGTAGAGGGGACGGTGAGGGAAGCAGAGCTGAGCCTGGCAGGGAGCAGCGAGTGGCTGTCCTGCCCCGGCAGAACAGCAGCAAGGAGCCTGTCCTGGCAGCCTGTCCCTAGTGAGCAGCACCCTGAGCAGTGACGGGGCGCAGAAACCAAAGCTGCGTGAAGTGGGACCCATGGGCAGCAGCTAGGGGGGCGAGGGGACGCGCAGATACATCCTGCTGAGAAACCACTGGAAGGAACAGAAGTGACTTGGACAAGAAATGACTTTAGACACCTGAAGCCATGTCCCAGGGAGGGAGAATTGGCCTTGATGGTCCTAAAGAGTGCACAGGTGGGCAAGAGGCAGAGGGCTGTGATGTTAGGGTGGGGTGAACTGGGCTGGGGGGGTAGCAGATGGAGCAGAGCCCACCCTGTCTATGAAACTGTGCCATTCCCCCTCTCCACTAATTATCCCTAGTCTGAAGGCAAGGACGCTGAGCCTTAGGGGTCACGAGATGGTGGAGCTGGCATCTGGACTGAGTTCTGTCTGCATTCAAGCTTGATGTGGTGCCTCTTGCCAGCGGAGCCCACCTTGATCCTGTGGGGGGCACAGCCACCCTGGTGTTGAGGTGCAGCGTTTAAGATGTCAGATCTGTGGTCTAGGACATGATTGGACCCACTTGCAGGGGTGGTAGGAAGCGGATGGGGCAGGGAGGCCGAATTGAGTTTACCGCAGCCATTCAGGAAAGGGACAATGAGGGACTGGGGCAGGGGCTGGGGACAGTTTAACTTGGCTCCACTCTGCACATTAGATTTCCCTGAAGAGCTTGGAGGAGAGGGAAGGACAGAATCTGAGGTGCCCCTGGTGCATTCCAGGTTGGGGGTAATAAGCACAGGCAGGTTTCTTAAGATCCACTTCACAGAAGACAGCCCAGAGCCCCTTTTTAAAATCTCTCCTTAAACCCAGTAGCCATGGCCCAGTAGGATCAGCCTCTGGATTTGAGAATCACTTGTGAGGATTGAAATCTTAGTTCAGCTCTTTAGTGGCCAAGTCACTTAACTCCTCCATGCTTTGGCATTCGTGTCCTCATCTGTAAATCATGTCTTCATCTGTAAAATGGGAAATAACAACACTACTATCTACTTCATAGATCATTATAAGGATTGAATGCAATGATTTACGTCAAGTGTTCAGTTCCCTGTTTGGCATAGATCCAGTTATCATTCTTGTTTTTGTTACAACTTGTTTACAAGCTGATGAACTGACCAAATAACCTATAGGCTGTTCTGTGAGCTTTAATACATTATTGCATTTAACCTCAACTTTAAAGTAGTGACCCTATAGAGTAGCTTTATTCATTTCATTGTACAGAGAGTTGAAGTAACTTGCTCATGGTCACACAGTCCCTTACTCTACCTCCAGCTGTAGCCAAAATCTGAACCACCATTCAGGGTATTGGAAATATGGGGATAGCAAGAGAGAAAAAGACTAAGAAAGAGAGGGAAAATGGGCAAGTTGATCCTAAAATTCACATGAAAGTGCAAGGATCCCAGAATAGTCAAACAATCTTGAAAAACAAGAAAAAAAGTAGAAAAACTGACACTTCTCAATTTCATAATTTACTACAAACCAAAGTACTGAAGACAGTTTGGTATTGGCCTAAGTACAGACACACAGATAATGGAATACAGTGGAGACTCCAGAAATAAACCGTCACGTTTACAGTCAATTGATTTTTGACAAGGGCACCAAAACAATTCAGTGGGAAAGAACAGTCTTTTCAACAGATGGTCTTGGAGCAACTGGATATCCACATGCAAACTAATGAAGCTGGACCCCTATCTCACACCACATACAAAAATTAACTCAACATGGATCAAAAACCTAAATGTAAGGGTTAAGACTATAAACTCTCAGAAGGAAGCCTAGGTCTTTCTTCATGACCTTGGATAAAATAACAGTTTCTTTGACATGACATCACAACACAAGCAAGCACAGAGAAACTGGGTAAGTTGGACTTCATTAAAATTTTTAAACTTTTGTAAATCAAAGGATACTATCAAGAAAATGAAAAGCCAGTCCATGTAATGGGAGAAAATATTTGGAAATCATCTGATAGTTCTAGCATCCAGAATATATAAAAATGCTTACAACTCCATAATTTAAAAAAACCTTTTAAAATAAGCAAATAATTTGACTAGACATTTCTCCAAAGAAGAGAGAAAAAGGGCCAATAAGCATATGAAGATACATTCAACATTATTAGTTGTTAGGGAAATTCAAGTCAAAACCACACACACAGTCAAACTCACAATAAGATGACACTTAATACCCACTTGGCTGGCTATAAAAAAGCAACAAAATATAAATGTGGCAAGGAAATGGAAACACTCATACATCGTTTGTGGGAACAAAAGATGGTGTAACCACTGTGGAAAAGTTTGGCAGTTCCTCAAAAAGTTAAACATAGAATGACAGCATGACCCCAAAATTCCACTTCAAGGTATATATATATATACCCTAGAGAACTGAAAACATATGTTCACACAGAATCTTGCTAACGAATGTTCACAGCATTATTCATTGTAGCCGGAAAAGTGGAAACAACCTAATATCCATCAATTGATGAATAAACAAAGGCAGTAGATCTACACAATAGAATTTTTTTTTATTTTATTTTTGAGAGGGCACCTCTCATATTTATTGATCAAATGGTTGTTTACAACAATAAAATTCTGTATAGGGGACTCAATGCACAATCCTTAATCAACCCCAAGTCTAACTCTCAACAGTTACACAACGGAATTTCATTCAGCCATAAAAAGGAATGAAGTATTGACATATGCATTATGTTAAGTGACAGAAATCAGACACAAAAGGCCATATATTATATGATTCCATTTATAAGAAATGTTTAGAAGAGGCAAATCCATAAAGACTTAAAGTACATAAGTGGTTGCTGGGGGCTGGGAGGAAGAGGGAGTTGAGAAGTTTTCTTTTGGGGTGATGGAAATGTTCTAGAATTAAATAGCAGAGAGGGTTGTACTAATTATGAATATGCTACTCAAATGTACACTTTAAAAAGGATTAAAATGATGAATTTTGTGCTATGTGGATTTTATCTCAATCAAAAATTAAAGAAGAAAGAAAGAGAAGAAGCTGAGGAAATGTTCAAAATGTTTGTTCAAATGGTGGCGCCTCGGTGGCTTTAAGGACACTCCTAGTGTCAAAGACCTTACCTGCCTCCCTCCAGTGGCCTGACTTTTACCCACAATCTGATTTATCAGATTGAACCTGAAAGGGCACAGGTGGGTAGGGAGCAGCGGGTTTTTCCCCAGTTCATCCCTACCCTGGGCACACATCCTGGAAAGCAGGCAGAAAAGGAATCTTCCTTCGATGGGTTCCACGACAGAGTCTTTAGCAAGTTGAAGTTTCAGTGTGTGCCCGCACTGCTAACCCCCCACCCCCACTCTCTCTCTCTCTCTCTCTCTCTCTCTCTTTCTTCCCTGGTGACCCCTTAGGTCCCAGTGCCCCTTACTCCTTCTATCCCTTCTGACATAAACCTAGTATTGAATGCAATAAGAGGCATTCACTCTGTTTATAAGTGGCTGATAACTGCTTAAAATAAGAGGCTTCTTATAGTCTAAGACTGCAAATGAGGACAGTGGGAGCTGGGTTTCTCACTGGCATTGAAACTATGGAGAGGGGAAAGGAGAAAATGAACCCAGGGATGTTAGATTGGAAGCAGAGGTAACAGTGTACGTGTGTGTGTGTGTGTCTGTGTAAAATCGTTTAGAAATCATGCACCAATAGCAATGAGCTTACCTAGCAAAAACATTTCTCCTTGGAGAAGTGGCTGATTCCTGAGGCAGAGAACAAAGAACCTGAAACATCTTTCTGTGCCAGCAAGTTAGGAAAGTACTCAAAGAATCATGAGGTGATGTGAAAAGGACACAAGAGGCAGCTCGTAGGAACTCACACTGGCCAAATCTGGGACAATTTGACCAGTGACAGTGATAGTGATGGACTGAATCTAATTAGAATCTATAAGTCCATAAATAAATAAATGTGTATTGTGTTAAATTGTGCCCTGCCCCAACCACCAAGAAAATGTCTGTTGGAGTCCTAACCCCAGTATCTTAGAATATGACCTTATTTGGAGATAGAATCTTCGCAGATAAGGCAAGTTAAAATGAGGTCATTAGGGTGGGCCCTAATCCAACGTGACTGTTGTCCTTATAAACAGGGGAAATTTGGACACAGAGAGACACGCACAGAGGTAAGAAAACACGAAGACATACAGGGAGAAGATGGCCATTTACAAGCCAAGGAGAGAAGCCTGGAACAGAGCCTTCCCTCACCCTCAGAAGGATTCACCCCTGCCAACACCTTGATCTCAGTCTTCCAGTCTCCAGAATGGTGAGACATAAATGTCTGTTGTTTAAGCACCGCTCCGCACCCCCTGACCCCATTTTGAGGTACTTTGTTATGGATGGCAGCCAAGCAGTGTTGCAGGTAAAAAGAGAAAGCAGTACCTTTCAGTAGAATGCCAGCTAACACACAGAAGAAATGATGGAGTTAGACAATCAATTATCCAGGGAAGCTAAAACTAGTGGCTGAAAAAGTTTGAGAAATGGGATATTTACAACATCTCAAAGTAACTCCCCACACACTACAGGTTAAATCCAAACAAAATGAGTAACTCCATAGTGAAGAAACCTGGAGAACAATTAAAAAAAAAACATGTGAGTCTTCCCTGTGAGGTTTAAAACTGGATCAGGGGTCAAGGAGAGGAAGAGCCATGGTAGAGTGGAATGTTCTAGTCCCAGACCTGCTAAGACCTAGTGGTATAAACTAGAGCAAATCTCTCACTTTTACTCATCTCTGAAATGGGGTGGGGGAGATACTACCTGCCTCACATGGTCGTAAGAATCCAAGGATTTTACAGACGTGAGAGCTTTTACTAAACCTCAAAGCATGCTGCACCTGAAAGTCTTCACTGTCTAGCAGGAATTTGAGCCTTAAGCTTAAGGAATAAAGCCCATTTTAGGCATTAGGCATCAGAAGAGAAAATACCTGGGGCCAGATGGGTGTTTCTGGACCCCTAAAATTGGACCTCAAGATGATCTGTTCTGCTGGCCCTTGAATGGACTTCAAGAAAGATGGAAATTGACTTGGAAGACACAACCAACAGTATTGGGATCATCTTTTTCTTGGGATCTGGGGCTGGGGACAGCTGGTTTAAGGTGTGTTTTGAGGGACTGAGAAAAAAAATCTCCCTCCTCACTGTACTAGTATGATACAGATCATTGACAATATCCCTCTAAATAATGCTTCCTTTGTTAAACGAGAAATGTGTTTCTTGGTAGGAATAACAAATCCCTCACACAAACCCGCTAATAGAACTTAACCCAACTAGCCATCCATCCATCCATCCAGCCACTCATTGCACACCGCTTATACCAGGCACCCTGCTCATCCCAGGCATACCAAGCGGAGCTATACACAGGTGCTCCCCTTGAGAGACAAAGGCAATTATAATACAAGTGGTAGGTGCCCACAGGGAGGAGGAGTAACTGGCCAGTCTAGAGGTCAGAAGAAGTCAGAGAAAACTTCCAGAATGAGGTGCCTCCTGAGCTGAGTAAGGTTGATTGAGGTGGGAGGAATTGGGGGTGGGGGGATAGAAATGGAGATCTGGTAGAGAGGGGTGTTCTAGACCCTCTCGGCTCCTCTGAACTCTTACCTGAACCTCTTATGATCCCCATTTCACAGGTGAGGAAACTGAGGCTCAGAGAGTTTAAATGACTTGCCCAAGACCCCAAAGTCATGATGGTGCTACATTGTCCTGGTAAAGACTCTGGGCCCTCACCATGGTGCCAGGCAGCCCGTTCTGTTCCATGGTGCTGATTCCAGCACACTGAGTCACCTTCTTCAGTAGCTCTCCAATTCATCCCTTGCTGTGGACCCTCACTCTGCCGCCACCGTCGCCCAGGCTCCATTAGCTCCCTCCTGGATTCTTGCCCCAGCCTCCTAACTGAAGGTGGCTGAAGATGGTCAGAGTATCTGGGGTCCAAAGGAGTGGAGATGGCAGGAGGTACCAGGGGGATAGATGGGTGCTGGAGCGGGGAGACAGGGCATTCAGGAGAGTAGACTGGAGGTGTCACCACTGCCTGTGGTGCCCTCTCCACTTGCTACCAAACATTCACACAGTCTCAGAGGACTGGGAGCCACTTACCTGGAGATGACAAAGTGACAGCCTCAGCACCGTGCAGAAATGTTTCCCCTCACTTTGCTCAGGTGGCAGGGAGAATGGGAGGAGAGCAAAGGCCCCCAGGCCGGGAGCAGGGCCTCTGCACATCTTACCTTTGTTTGTGCTGGAAGTTCACAGGACCAAGGTTCACAAGGGCTCTTGAGAAGCTGGCTTCATGGCAAAAGGCAGAATCTGAAGGAGCAGACGTAGTGGTGGGAGACCATCCCCGCCAGGACACATAATGAGCCCATTACGCCCTCCCTCATACACCCCTGAGCCTGGTCTTGGAAGGGGCGTGGCCCTGCGTGGGGCATGAGGGGCAGGTGGCAATTATGGGGCAACTTGTTCTTTGGTCTCCTGATGGGAAGGCTTCCAAGAGCGCAACTTAACAGGAACAGAGGAGCACAGATAATGGCAGGACCTGAGGGCACCGCCAGCCAGCGGCCCAGGCCGCATGGTGAACTGGAGCCGCCACAGACCGAAGGGGCCCAAGGCATACCCTTGGGTGTCTCAGTATTACTGCTGCCTCCTTGTTGTTGGGGCCCCAAGGGGAGCAGAGGCAGGGATCAGGAGGCAAAGCTCCAAGGAGGAAGACATTTGCGGCAGGCAATGTGATCCAGAGACAGATCCAACCACCTTGGATGATAATGAGATTCCCACTGTATAGGGCATGCAAGCCCCTGTTGGAAGATTTCTGAGTAGGAAATTCAAGCTTCAAATGAGGCCGTCCCATCCAGCTCTGGGTTCTGGGATCCAGGGAACGACCCATTCCAGACTCAATGCCTTCAGAGCTCAAAGTCCACTAGAAAGACAAAGGCATAGGCATATAATTACACTACAGCATGATAAGGTGCAGGGATTAAGAGCGTGGGCTTCAGAGGCAGTTAGGCCAGGGTTCAGAGCCTGGCCTATCAGCTTCGGTCTTGTCATCTGCAAAGTGAAGAAGAGACCCTCTGCTTCCCTGGTACAAGGAGAGACTGAACCGCTATACATAATGTTCCTGGCACAGTGCCTGGCTTGTCATAACTGTTAATAATAACTGTTAACAAGGGGAAGTTGTTACTAGTGCCAGGTACTTGACAGGTACAAAGGCCTCTAGGGGTACAAAGGAAGATGTTGTTTTGGATGAAGGGTCAGGGAAGCTTCCCAGGACAGGCAGGCACTCTGGGGAGGGAGGGGTCGAGGGCTTCCAGGGCAAGGGAAAGCCTGGTGAGCAGTGAGATAGGCTCAATTCCATAAGGTGGTGGGAAGAGGTGAGGTTGGGAGTTTGGGGACAGGGACCAGGACGCCACATGGTCCCTACCTGTCCCACCCCAAATGCAACTAGTATATCATCCCCTACTGTCCAGAGAAGGCATCGTTGTCCTCCCTCCCCATATCCAGTAATGCCTCTCATTTGGATTCTACCTATTTAACAACTCCTAGACCTATCTGCTCCTTCTCAAACCCATTCCACTGCCTTCCAACCTGCTTCCCTCTGATCTGTTGTGCACACAGATGAAACAGGGAAGCGCCACCTAAAATGCAAACCAGCCTGGTCACTCCCCTGCCTAAAAACCTTCACTGTTACCCCATCACCAACAACTGAACTTCATCCACTCTTTCATCAGCTCCATAATTTGTACCATTTTGGCCCATTACCCAACTTATTATACATTTAATGGTTTTTAAAAAACTGACTTCAGCCAAAAATATACCCATGAAATCACAGGGTTAGTGAGCTAACTGTATTTTTTCCAATACTCATTGAATCCACCCACAAGTATTAAAGTAAAGCAGGAATGTATGCATGGCATACCAGTCTGTAGCAGAAACTATCCATGCTCTGTCCATATCCCCTTGTCCTTGCCAATTCAGGGCATGCTGGCTTGACTTCCAACTGCTACCACCTGGCCTGCTCTACCCCCTAGGGCCAGGCTGACCTGCCAGGGATGGAGACTCAGGAATCTGCATGGAAGGGGCCGATAGGGACACCAATCATTATCAGCAAACACACTGTCATACCTTGGTGGACAGGCAGGTAAGATGGGCTCAGTGATGTGCTGGTAAATGTTTAACAACTGGCTCTGTGGGGAAAGTTCGGATTTGTAGCATGCACCAATTCCTATGGTGTAAGTACTCTAACATTTCAAGCTTTTCCAAGCTTTCAAACTGATGTCACTGAAAGTGGAATTGGGAAAAGCTGCTCTTGCAGGTCAGTGTGAGCCAGCTTTGGGTTTCACTGGGTGGAGCCCAGGATAAGGACTTAGGGGGCTCATGGTCCTTAAGTTCTGGGGGATTCAAGGAGGGAACAGTATTGTTGAGAAGGAAGATGGGAAATATTTACCAGCCTGAGGCCCATTGAAAACAGGTGGGTGCAGAAGGCTTTTGAACATGTACAAGGGCCCTTCTGGTGTGTCAGCCTTACGAAGAAGGCAAAAAGTCCCAGAGTAGAAAGGACAGGAAGCCCTAACCACCCAGTTTTCCTGTCTTGCTATGTCCCATCCTTCTCCTTGTAGAAAAAGCTCCTGCTCAGAAGCCAAGGAAAGATCAGATTCTGCTGATTCACAAAATCTAGTTGTCAAGGACTTCACTGAAAAGAGAAGTGAAAGAGCATTCTTCCTGAAGGACTAACACAGCTGGATTTCTTCCCTAAGAGAGAAAAACCTGAGACTGGAGCCACAGCGGCCCAGCTCCTTCCCTGTGCTGCCCAAAGATATTGAGTTTCTGAGTCTGGAGTCAAACACATGCTTGCATTTACTTAACCCCAAAACCCATGGGGTTGGTTGGAATAAATGGGAATCTTATGCTTCCAGGATCCCAAGAGAAACTGTGTGGCAGGGAAGCCCTGTGCACTGGAGAACCAGCTGGAGCTGGAGCCAGTGCCCTGACTCTGCCCTTTATGAGGATGTGGACACAGGCTGTGGGTTACTCCTGGAGTAATTGGGGAGGCTTGGATGAGAGAGTCCCAAAGCACTTTGCAAACTGCAAGGCATTGAACGGAAATAAGTGGTGGAATGGATGTGATGCCCCATCCACCCAAGACCCCTGGGGAGGCAGCTCCTGCTCGTTAGCTCAGTGACTCAGGCCACAAAGAAAATACATGGTGAGCTGGATAGTTAGTTACCCAGTGAGTTTTGGGAGCCTGGAGGAGGTGGGGTCCTAAAGGAGAACCAGCAGGGAGATGGGAGGCACCAAGAGAGACAATGGCACTGAAAGGAGGTTCCTGTGAACCATTTCTGCCCTCAGGAGGCTTCCAACCTCAGCAGGGAGTCAAGGCATGTGAGAAAATCCCCTTTGCTCACCCTCTCACTGGTTTCTGTCACTCTGGACAGTGATCCTAAAGAATGACTCCTTACAAGGAATGATCTCTGTACAGACACAGTCCCGTGGCACATGACGACTCCACTAAGAGAAGCTGGCTATATAATATGAATAGTTCTGATGAATCTGCAATCTTTGAGAAACGTGGGAAGAGAGAGCTGATAGACCTAAATTCTGACTCCATCTCTGCTCCTTACTAGCTGAGCAGGCAAGTCATGAACTCTCCCCAAGCCTTGGTGTTCCCACTTATGAGATGGGCATAGTTATCCCCACTCTGTGTTTCGGCCTGAAAGCACAAGCAGGAACTCAGCTGAGGTAGTGGGAGTGAGAGGGGAATGCCCAGCCCAATATGAAAACTGATGGGTGCTGCCTGGTTGGGACATATGCCTGGGTCCGTAGGAAGGAATGAAGAACATCAGAAATGTAAGTATGTGGGCAAATATGAAAGATGATCTTTTTTTCTTTTAATTTATTTAAAATATATGTGACTGTTTATAGCAAAAATTAAAGCATTTTATAATAGGGCTTATTACATACAGAGATATAATACATATGATAACTATAAAATGAATGAGAAGAAATAGATCTACATGTTGCAAAGTTCTTAGTACAATATTAGCTCTAAGTAGACTGTAAAGCTAATGATGTATATTGTATTCCTTAAAGTATCCACTAAAAAGGTAAGCAAAGAGATACAGCAAAAGAGCCAGTGGATAAATTAAAAAGACATTCTAAGATAAACATGCAATTGACCCAAAAGAAGGCAGGTAAGTAGGAACAGAGGAATATAAAACAAAAAATATAATATAACAAACTACAGGTAGGACAAGCAGAAGCTAAATAAAATAGAACCAAACACATTCCTATCAATGATTACATTAAATGTAAATGGACTAGACCATCTCCACATTCAGAGATTCACTAAAAAGACTCAAGACTCAGCATATAGTTGTATAGTTACATTAATATATTAAGGAGGCACAGCGGGATTATAAGGAAAAAAGGTGTAGGTGGAGTCTAGAGGAATCCATATGCAGGCTTCCTTGTGCTTTGCTTGCTTTCTCCCATGAAAGAGTACACAGAGCAAATTCTTCCTCCAGACATGAAAATGCAGCAACGTGCTTGTGTGTTCCTGCACAGGGAGGGCCATAAGAGACTCAGTGTCCAAGATTTTTATTGGAGTCTGGCCAGACAGGCACCTTCTGTCTAACAAATAACAAAATCCCAGACTACCAAAAGAAAACCAGGTATTCAGCATAAACCATATCATGTGTACAAATGTTCTGGACACAGTGAATCATCCTTATCAGTTAACTGTTGACTGGTAACACTCTGAGAGCCAAGTTCCCAGATGCCAGCCAAAGGCAAAACTTGCAAGCAGGCCTTTCTAAGGACAGGTTTCAGTTCACTATGTTAACTCTTTTCTGCACAGGACTGAACACTCCAACTAAAAGACAGAGATTGTCAGACTGGATGAAAGAACAAGCCCCCACTACATGCTGTCTACAAAATATGTATTTTAAACATAAAAACCCAGAGAGCTAAAAATATATGGATGGAAAAAGAGACATTATATGAATATAGAAAGGGACATTTCATAACAATTCATTAGTAAGATATAGTAATTATAAATATGTGTGTGGTAAGTAATAAAGTTAAAGATACATGGAGCAAAAATTACTGTAAATAAAGAGAGAAATAGACAAATCCACAATCATAGTTGGAGATTCTAACACAGCTCTCTCAGTAATTAATAGAAAAGGTAGATAAAAATCAGTAAGGACATAGAAGATCTGAATCACTTTGACATGGCACTCATAGAACAATACATCCAATAAATGCAGAATACACATTTTTTCCTGAACACACAAAATATGGCCACTGAGATACACCATATCCTTGGCAAATGACTTAATACATTTCAAAATATTGAAATGTTAAAGAATATGTCCTCTGACAACAATGGAATTAAATTAAAACCAGTAACAATGAATT